GTAATTTTGCATAATGTGGCAGCACCATTAGGATTAACCAGATTTTAGCATGAGCTTGTGTGATTATCATTTAACTTCTGTTGTTGGATGTGAAGCCACTTCTTCTGAAGCATCTGAAGAAGTGAATTGTTATTTATAGAAGATAGGGGGAAGAAAAGATTTCCTTCTTGCAACTCAAACTCATGTTGGGTTTAAGCCACAGAATCCATGGTTTCTCTTTCCACATATCATTCCCCTGATTTCCACTTCTGACTAAAATTGTATATGAAATACCGTGTGATCTTTCTCTAGGGAGGAGGAGGAGGAGGAGGATAACAACAACAACAACAACAACAACAACAACAATGCAGTTGGAACCTACTGTCAATTCTGGGAACTTCCCGCTTTTTTATTGCTTCTCTCTATGAGAAGGAATGAGAAAAGCAAGGAAAAGGAGGGAATCTACACAGGTTGAATCTTGCTTACCTGTGGCTGAGGTGTGTGGGCTTTATGGTCCAACCAAGTCACTTCTCCAGGTTCTGTGTTCACAGAAAGAACAGGGCTTTGTGCTTAAAGTCAGAATCTCTTCCTGTAGCATGCATAAGGGGGGACCATAGGAATTAGAGGCTGATTTGTCACATTTTGAAGTCAGGAAGGAATACATAGTGACAGCTGAAGAGGCCTCCCTCTTCAGAACAGACCATCAACTCCAGAGCCTAGAATTGCCCAACTGCACCTGGGGTGGCCCATTGAGATCATGTTATCTAACTTCCCCAATATCTCCAAATCTGGAATTAGCACATTTCTTTTTGGAAAAGTATTTCAGATCTTTAGCTGCCTTGCTATTTCCAAAATAGGTATGAGAGGCAGATCCAGTCTCCAAGATGGCTTATACATTGGTACACTCAAGACCCCCCTCTCCCACCCCCACTTTTAGGGCTTAGGTTAGGCAGCCCCGAGTTGCCTAGCAGTTTTAGTTCTTTCCACTGTCCATTAGCAAAAGCCTTTATTCAATATGAACTGAAATCAGTTGTAAACAAATTCAAGTGAATTGTTGATGGCTGGGTTTTATTAATCATGCTTGCCCTGGTTGTTGAGAAAAATAGGGGCTATGCTCTGGCTTTTAGTTTATTATTAAATGGATTTTTCACTGAAATAGACCCGGTGGCCTTTCTTGGGAGCCGCTTCCCCCTCGCCACCCCCTCACCGCCTGCCCGGCAACAGGTTCCCAAGCAAACATTTCCTTCCTGCTTGGCTGAGTGGAGGCCCGGCTCTGATTTCATCTCATTAGTGGGAGCCGTCCACCACTGGTGAGCGCTGCCGGAACTGGTTGCTATGGAGACGCATGTTTATTGAGCTCCTGAGATATGAGGTACTAGGCCAGAGAGAGGTACTTTCAGAAATTTGGGGGTGGTTGTTTAGGGGGGGGGGCAGGGGCTGCCAGCTGCCTGTGAAGCCCCCAAGAGCACCAGCAATGGCCTTGACAGGGACTGGGAGAGAATGGCTTTGCACCCAGGTGCTGCCAGGACCCCACCCTCTTGGTTGAAAGTGAGGAGAGGCAAGGACTTCATTTCCCATATAGGACAAACAGGCTATAAATGTATGTCGTAAGCATGTTATTCATTTATTTATATCCACATTTGCTGGGGTTAGATGCACAGAACCACAATGAAAATGAAATTCTGTGAATAAAGAAATAGCTATTTTTTTAACCTGAGAGGACATCTCTTTTGGAATTGCTAGATGTTCTAGCACAGTTCCATCTATAGTCAACTTCCACTGGAAGTTGGCCATAGAATTGTACTGAGGATGAAATTCTCTAGATCCTCTAGCATGATTGTAGGGTGTTGACTATAAAGTTACACTGGAGAATCTAAACATCCTAGAGAAAATGTTTTGAATAATCAAATCTACAAGCCAAAACTGCCAATGTGCAGGGGTGACGTAATCCCAAATTACTATTTTGGGAAATTAGAAGCTATAGAATCACAACTTTATTTTCTTTGTTAGTACTTTAACCACAAGGTAGACAGAAGGCCCTTCTACACATGCACTAAAACCCAGAAAAAAACAGGATAAAAGGGAGGGTGGCTAAATGGAAGCACAATTGGAAAGCAATTACAATTAGAACTCTCTGCAACCATTCCTTAATTCTGATCTTTATGATATTAAACAAAGATTGAATTTATAGTTGAGTGAGGAGAGAGAATAAGAAATCTGCTTGTGTGTACATTGAGATATCCACATGAGCACATATACAATCCAGCACATCTTGGAGATAATTAAAAAAAATACTTCTTCCAGATGTCCCCGTCCATCTTGCGGATTTGTAAAATCTGCTACAAAGGAAGGCTGTGAGGATGGTGGGGTACAATTTCCCGGGACTGACAGGTCTGTGTCTGGACTTGCTGTCAGGTCCTGTGATTTTTAAATCCACTTATTTAATACTAATTTGATGTTGTCTGGAAGCACCTGTAAAAGCATGAAGGACCTAAGTTGAAAGAGTGATGATTGAGATTTTAAAAGCCTAGATTCCAGAAAAGCTGCTTTTGGATTATAACACTTAGAATCCCCGGCATGCTAGCCATGCCAGTTGGGGGATTCTTGGAGTTCTAGTAAAAAAAGAAAAAGCTCAGTAAGCCTTCAGTGCCATTCAGAGCTTTTGGTCTCTTTCCATCACTAGCAGACCAAACAATGCCAAACAAATAAATGGTTGACTGGAAGAAGGTTTTATAACATAGCCTTTCACAATCTGGCACCATCCAAACATATTGGACAACAAATTTCCAACATGCCCAGAAATGGCAACATTGGCTGTGTTGGCAGGGAGGGATGAGATTTCTTGTCCAACACATCTGGAGGACAGCAAATTTGGGAAGCTTGTGCAGGAGCCTACAGCTACCCTGGGACGTTCTTTATTCAGAACCCAGTTCAGTTCAAACCAAGGCAATTAGTATCATATGACCTAATTTCTTTAAAGCAGATTTCTGTTTTTTCCCCTTGGAAGGACTGAATGCTTCATATTCACATAACAAGCAGAAATTCAAGAGATAATCCCAGCTCTGGGAAACCAGCACATTGTTATTATCACGTGTCTGTAATGCATCTGGTTCTTATCTATTAGAAGATGCTGCTCTTAAGTATATTGCATGAATAATATTTTTAAAGTGAAAGGAGTGATTCAAGATCTTCTTCTACATGCTAACCCTTTCTTTGATCATTTCTTTATATCTTAAAGACCACAATCAATTCATTCCCTTCTATATATTACTTGATCTTCTGCAGTTACAGCACCTTGCTGCTTCCTGTAGACTGTTCATCATATCTTTGAAAATGATCGCTTCTTCCTCCGGTAACTGTGGGGAGGGGGAATCCCAACTGCTGCGGTTTCTTTACTCTGTATATATGTTACCAGAATGTGTAGAACAGATGGAATTGAAATCTTGACTCAACAAGAGGCCAAATGCAAGAGTTAAGAATGAAAGTCCCACTAGGATTGGCTGCACACAATTCAATTGTGACAATAGAATTGAACAGTGCCACAAGTAGATTCACAAGACGGACCAGGATTTTTTCAGTACAATCCAGCAGCCCTCCAACTGCTAGTAAGTGTAGCGAAACGCAAGTGTTGAAGAACAAGTAAAGACACTGCTGATGGTTCAAAGTATGACAAAATTGTAGGCTACAACCTCCTTAAAGTGTAACTCTTTTTAAAAAAAGAATAAGAATTTGGATGTTTATTTTCAAGTACTGAAAATGTCTGCCAGCATGGCATATTTACTCTCTCCAGGGAAGTCAGTGAGAAAAACTGTAGAAGAAAGGCAGCACAAAGGATGAAGTCAGAATAATTTTGAAATGGACAGGATTGTGCAGGGACTTATTCAATCCCTATTGCAACACTGTGCATGCTCCACTTAAACAATGAAAGTCTACTTGCTTTCTGAGGTAGATGGCAATGCCCACTATTTTTTCCATTTGGATGAAAGGAATTGCATCTGGGAACACACTTAAGGAGGAGGTAAAACTTGCCTCCTCTTGACCACCAAGAGAAATTGTATGGTTTTCTCATACCTCAACTACCTCCCTATTTGCAGTTCTATAAATATGTAGATCCTAGGATAACCAATAAACAAGAATGTTATCTCATTTCTTTGCTCTTTCTGTCTCTCCTTTTCAGCCACTTTCTCTATGAAGAAGACAACTGGGAAAAAACCGACTTGGCCAATATGTTCACTGAAGACACACAGCCTATTATATTGATCACTTTATAGTCTTCTTAGGTCACTTGAAGATACTGCACCAGAATATCAGTGTAACCAGAGGACAGAAGCTATGAAATGGATTTTTATATATACTTGGGAAGAGCCAGTGTGATGGTTTGAGAGTTTATCTCATGCAAGAAAACACACATTTCTTATTGACTGAGTGAATATTTTTTTTAAAAGATGTGAGAAAACTGAGTTGAGATTCTTTTCTGCTTGGGATCAGTTTATTCATTTTTCATTAAGAGAAACAATCACGTTTCTCTTAACAACATAATTACAAAATAAACAATACAGAATTTTCCAAGATTCGTTAAACTGCTGTTCTGGGCCCCATATAGAATTTGGGAGCAGAAACTTTATATGGCATCCTAACAACAATACAATGGAACATCCCTGTTTGCTGGTGATTAAGATGAGAACCATAGGAAAATATATTTTTAAATGGTTAGAGAGCTACTTTATTATAGGTTAAGAACAATAATGGTTTCCATGTCTAGCATCTTTGAAAAAAGCAAGGTGCTGCAAAGCTTTAGCACTGTCACTCACAACCGTTAGAGATCACTGTTAAGCAGAGCCAGCCTTAGAGGGAAATGAGGTGGGCATTTCCCCTGGGCACTGGCCTGAAAGAGGCCCTGAACTGAGTTTGGAGTCAATCATGCAAGTAACTTTAGGTGTTCTCAGATACACAAAGTCCTGTTGGACTTTCTGGCACAAGGCAGAAAAATGATGTTCTTCTCAAATACAATTTTCTTTAACTATTTCTTTCTATGGTTGCCAGGGCAGGAACATCTCTGAAATCGCACACCCAAAATCTGAGAGGTGGAGTGTCTGGTAATGTCACACAGGTGGGGGTAGGATATGGTGGTGTCATTAAGCACAACAAGTCAAAACATAAAATATATCAGTCTAATAAAAGAGACACAGGAGAGAGGGAAAAGGAAGAGTCCTCTGAAGAGTCTATAGCAGCTAATCCAAAGGAGCCTGAATTAATGGGAGCCACGAAAAAATAGAATCGAAAACAAACCTTTTTTCCAGAACAGCCCTCTTTCCCTGAGATTCAAAATCCTGAGATTTACCTATTTGAGTAAAAAATAAAATAAAATTTGAGCTTCTGTTCTGGTGGTTATCCCCTTATAGATATGGGCTGAGAGGCCTTTGGATCCTGTAGATTGGGTGTCCCATTTTGCTCAGACCATGCTCCAGGTCTCCTTTCTCTAGCAGCGCAGCTCCAACAAAGAAGAGATGTGAGAATTATCATAGGGATAGGTGGGGGTGCATTAAATTCTCAACCCATTCAGTAGACACAACCAGGTTGCCACCTTAACCAATGTAGTGTTGCAGACCATGCCATTTCTTGCTCTCACAACAGAAGGGCTTCTGGCATGACTGGTCTGAATCTGGAGCAGACACAAATGCCTGGTTCTGAGAGGTTCTTTTTGTGAACCAGGCATTGTGGGTAGGCTGCCTTGGATGATCTCCCTGGGCAATCTGCTCACAATACCTGGTTGTTCCTTGAAGGATAGCACTGGCCAATTTGTGAACTTGGTGCTGCTCTCCACATAACCCATCTACCTGTCTCCTTTCTCTGTTTCAGAAAGTGGACAATAGTTTCAGCAGAAATAAAAGATGGATGCATATAGCAGTGAAGTGTCCATGGCTTTCCTTTGCTCAGCTTTGCAGTCATTCGTACCTAACATGGCACCTTGGTTTCTCATCCCTGAAGTAAGCTGAAGCAGGAAAAAAACACTCAGTGGGGGCAATTGTGATCCAAATATATCAACACTGTTTTTTTTCTGCATCCTAATTATTTCATACATTGTGTGTCTTGATTGATAGTATGTCAAGAGTTGGTGTGCTTGAGGGCATTTCATAACCAGAAAGGGATCAACTCATTAGAGTTGTTTCAATTCATACAGGTGTGCCTGCTGTGAGGAATGAACACAATAAGTTTCTTTATAGATCCAAGAGAAACCTTGGGAGGTGTTTCCTGATTCCATTCTGTTGCTCATTGGGATTGTCTTCTTGTTCTAGCCAGGTGCTGCAACACTTATTATCACTGTGAAGAGATAAAGAGGCCATAGCAAAATATTATTGTTTTTTTCCTTATCATAGAACCTGGCAAGAGGGACATGTCAAGTTATCCTTGTTTATGTGGCTCTTTCTGGATCCCAATTTGAAGCAGAAATTGTTTGCTCTTAATGTCTATATATCAAAAGCAATTTTTAATCCAGTGAATGCCTCTCAAGGATTCCATTCTTTTTCCAAATGAATACTCTTCCTCAGGTAGAAAATGTTTTAATGGTACTTGGAGTCCACAGATTCCACACCCATAAACATGATATAATGGGGGATTTCTCAATTTAAAATTTTCCCCGACATCTTGTAAGTATATAGTCAAATAGAATAATAGAATCATGGAGTTGGAAGAGACCACATGGGCCATCAAGTCCAATCCTCTGCCATGCAGGAAAAGCACAATAAAAGTACTTTTAGTCATCAACCAAATCAGACATAAACAAAAGGAAAGGGGTGTTTATCCTTTTCCAAGCCTATGAGTGCCAAGCAGCAAACATTTTTCATCATCCCAATTTCCAGCAATTACTGAAGGTTCCATGAAAAAACACGAAAAAACAGTTTACCAGCCGTTAGGATTTCTGGAAGTTAAAGGCCAAAACATCTGGGAACCCACAAGTTGAGAACCACTGGTGTAACAGATAGGTGTTTGTATGGAAGCATGGTATGATAATCCTGTGAAGCCTCAGACCAAAGCTTAGCAGCCTCAAAGTACTGCTATTGGTAGCCATGGTTTTTATTTATTTATTTTATTTATTTACTTTATTTGTATACCGCTGTTCTCAGCCCTTAGTCATGACACAACAATCTTAGTATTTCAAAATAGGGAACCTCTTTTAGCCTGAGAATCCAGTTCATTTTCAGAGAGTTTTTTTTGGTTTTGTGTTGTATTTGTGCATTATAGGTTTAGCTACAGGAAGGAGTCAAATGAGGGCATTGCTACCTGTGGGGAGTGTCACTTCTCCCCATCTTTGTTTCCAATGCAAGAATCTCCTCCTATCCCACTATTGTGGCCACCAACTATGAGGATCTTGAAGATACTCTCATGGCATATAAGCAAATAGAAAGTATCCCAAATACCAAAGCACTTCTGGTCTCAAACAGTTCAGCTAAGGAATACTCAATTGGTATCCCTTGGCAGACTGACGTCAACTCTGACATGCCTTATTCTCTCTCACACTCATATTCTAACCTGGTTCTAACTAATCTCTATCTCTGACCCTGATTAATTTTCCTAATTTCTCAAACTCCTGCACTCTCATTCAACTTTTACTAACTAGGTGTGATGCACACCTACTTTTAAAAAATCCCCACAGATATCCAGTTAATCCCAACATTTGGTACTCTCATCTCTCTCAACAGATCCTTAGCTTATTATATCTACTATATATTGCATAAACGAACAATAAGAAATGAAAGACTCCCCTCAAGTCCTTAGTATCACATACTCCTGTAAGAATTCTACTTCTGCAATGAAATTTTCTTTCAGTTGCCAAACATCTAGCATTACAGTTACTTGAAACTTCGTTTGAGAATTTAGCAACATAGGCATCAATGAAAAACAATAAATGTTGAATAATGTTCAATGTCTGAATTTTCAATGGTAGAAATTTGAGGACTGGTGGAAAATTTAATGGTGAACAGAATTTTTTATTGGGGGGGCAATGTCCTTGTTTTGCCACTGCTACACCCCTCCTGCTAGTGAGGAAATAAATGTGTTTGTGTGTGTGCTTTCAAGTTCATTCCAACTTACAGCAACACTAAAGTGAACGTATAATGGGGTTTTCTTGGCAAGATTTGTTCAGACAGGATTTGTCTTTGCCTTCTTCTAAGGCTGAGAGAGCATGCCTTGCTATGGTTATCTGTTGGCTTCCATTACCGAATGAGGTTTTGAACCAATGCTCAAATCACTGCACCACACTTTAGTGTAAAACTTCTATTGCCAGATGAGAATACTTTCGTGTAAAGCCTGTAACTGAGACTAACTTGTGACCTTTTGGAAGGTAGGGGGGTGCTGGGAAACTAATTAATGGTGGCATAATGAGAGGTTTGTTATTATTTTAACTGCTGCCAAGTTGACTTTGATCTGAGGTGACTCTATGAGAGACAGATTGGAATCTCAGGAGAGACAGATTCAGTCTCAGGGCCTGAGGTTCTACACCCCTCTGCAACATTTTGCAGTATTCAAACATCCATACGTTTTGAAACACAAATAGATTTCATGTGGTGATCAAGCATGGATTTTTTTGTTTTGGTAAACCATCAACAGTAAACATGTTTGCTGGCTTGTTGTATACATAGTAAAACAAACAGCAGCAAAGCCTTATACATGAAGCTGTTTACCTTCATTTCACACGGAAGACGGTTCCAATGTGTGTTTCCTTCCCTGGATATGAAGTCACATGCACACATGGGTTGCCTTCCTCAGACCTGGGGATGTGAGAAATCTGCCAGCCTTGTTTTCCTTGTATTTCTCTTCTTTGCCTGAAGCTGATGGATTTTCAGGCAATATGCGCTTTATCCTGTTACTAGTCTCAGGAAGCTCAAAATGGATAGTCCCTAAGAAAATGTGAACTCAACCAATTTCTTCTACATCCCTGTCTTCAAGCCAGCAGCTGGAGCTGTACTCCAACTGTTCTCTTCTAAAAGGAGAAATCCTGTCAATTAACTGTTTGGAAGCAGAGGCAAGGGAATGGAATTGAGTCTACAAAATAAGAGATAGGTAAAGGTTGTCCCCTGACATTAAATCCAGTCATGTCTGACTCTGGGGTGTGGTGCCCATCTCCATTTCTAAGCCGAAGAGCCGGCGTTGTCCATAGACACCTCCAAGGTCATGTGGCCGGCATGACTGCATGGAGCGCCGTTACCTTCCCGCCAGAGCGGTACGTATTGATTTACTCACATTTGCATGTTTTCGAACTGCTAAGTTGGCAGAAGCTAGGGCTGACAGCGGAAGCTCACGCTGCTCCCCGGAATAGAACCTGTGACCTTTCGGTCAACAAGCTCAGCAGCTCAGCAGTTTAACCCACTGCGCCACCGGGGACTCCTAAAATAAGAGATATACTGAAGTTTATTTTAAACTGCCTTTTAAACTGTCTTGTCAACAATTCTGCCAGAAGCTTCCAAAAAATCAAATTTGGAAAATGCAATTTAACCAGTATGTTGTGAAATTTATAAAATTTGGGTACATAATCTCTCCTCCCAAACATTGCAATGGGCATTTTTTCATGTCAGAAGCGGCTTGAGAAACTGTTTTACCATCCTGTGGGAAGCTTTTAAGCAGAGGCTGGATAGCCATCTGTCAAGGGTGCTTGAATGAAATTTTCCTGTTTCCTGGCAGAGGGTTGAACTGGATGGCCCACGAGCTCTCTTCCAACTCTATTATTCTATGATATATATTATAATTGTTGTAAGATACCTTGAGGCTTAAAAAATTAAGAAGCACAATAAACCATTTATATAAATACAGTTTTAGTTCTTTATACCTGGCTGATGTCTCTCGTGGGAAGCTGGTGAAAAGTCTTACAAAAACATACCACCCGAAATACCAGTTGTGAGTCTCAGAAAGGTACTCAAGCCCAAAGCCAACGCCAGTTTCCAAGTGTTCAGAGAAGTCAGACTGGTCCCTGTAATGCAGAAGACAGGAAAGTCAGATGTCCTCGTTTTCTATCTTGCACAGGAGACTCTTATGCTAAGCAAGTGGGGTGGGTGGTGGGGTCCTCTGATTGAAATTAGCATAAGTCGTTTCCCCATCTCTTCCAGGTCACAGATGTAAACTTTGGGGAAATATTGCAGGCTGGAAAATGATTTTTCCAGCTTGTAAGATCCTTTCATTCATTACTTTGATATCAAGGCAGTTATGTGCAATTGGCCCTCCACATTTGCAGGTTTGACTTTTGTGGATTCATGATCTCATCATACAGGCTAATTTGCCTGTCGTATGTCTGTTCCTCTCACTTGCTCATTACACAACGAACATCGACTTCTGGCAGGGCTCCATGGCAAAAGGGGAGAGGAAGTGGTCTACACCGCTTCCACAGCAATGCAGGAGACTTCCTATGTTGCATTTGCAACAATGAGGGGGAAGCTGTGCAGTGAATGCCCCCCCCCCCCAATTGGTTGGGGCCCAAAATAAGTCAGACAACATGGGGCATGGGGTGGTGGGTTCTCCATGCCATCTGCTGGGACCCCACAGATTCACCACGATGTGTGGTGAACCTACATGTTAATGTGATAAGATCCTTTCGTGTTCTCTTTAGGAATGTCTATAAACATGTCTAGGCTTCCAGTGTAGTTTTATGTCATCCTACTCCAGGCATCCTAGAGCAATGGTTCTCAATCTGTGGGTCCCCAGATGTTTTGGCCTTCAACTACCAGAAATCCTAACAATTGGTAAACTGGCTAGGATTTCTGGGAGTTGTAGGACCCACAGGTTGGGAAGCACTGTCCTAGAGTGTATGCCTGTCTCTAGATCCTTGTGCGTGATAGAAATTCGTAGATATCTACTTTTTCAGAAAAGATCCAAACTATTTCTTCATTTGCTTTTTTTTTTTTTTTACTTTCATTGGAATCTTTTGCTCCTAACCTCAGCTAATGTGGAGGGCTGACTATAGGTTTTGGAATGAGGAAGAGTAAAAGCAATCTTCAAAGCTATCACTAGATGTCACTATTTAAACATTAATCTCACTGCTGGTTCCTTCTGCCAACCTGACTGTATTTTGCATGGAGCCTGAAAGTAAAAACCCACCACCCTGCCAAGTGGTGTTTTCTAACACCACTTGGCAGGGTGGGTTTTTGGTTGGAAGCTCCTAGTGCTTCCAACCAGAAAAAGAGCATTGTGTATTATCTTTTTCAAGTGTTTTTTCTTGGTCAAAAAAAAAAAAAGCGAAGGAAACAGTGGGAAAACACAAGGGGGTTACAAATGAAAGGTGATGCTATCTAGACACCTGCTCAAATTCCTCTGTTTGGGGCAGAGCTTTTGCAATATAAAAGTCTCATTGGAAAGCATTCCTGACACAAATCAGAGTTCCTACTGCAAAGTTGCATCAAGTGTAAACCTTCCCTGTACAGTTTCCCCCTGTGGTCCAACATACAACAGAATAATCTTCCCAGTGCATGACACTTCCTCCATAATGTCAATTTCACACCTTTATCCATATATGTTGGATAAAAACAAGCAACCTCTTTTGTAGGAGGATTCACACATGTATAGACACTAACAAAATTCTGCTCAGGGGTATGCTGGTGCTCTTAGCCATCAGAAAATGGTGGAGACAATGTGTCTCATATTAGGCACGGGGTTGTACCATTGCTAGAGAGCCCCTCTTCTGCACAACTGTTAGAAGCATAGAAACACTGTTCTTTTTTCATCTGGCTGCTCTAACTTATATGTTCACCATCTTCTTGTGCACAATCCCAGGAAACAAAGATATATTGTTAAAAATTGGTCCACAGTAGAAAATAAGCCAGTTCATTCACACATAACTGCATGGCCTCTACATTGATTGTATCTGAAATTTTAGGTATCTGGAGGCTTTAAATATAATCTGTGATGACCCCAAAACCGATAGGAGCTGAAGCAGAATAGACTCCACTATTTTACACCTGATCTGCAACAACTTCACACTACATAGTTCCGCTATAAGGTGCTATGGTTCCATTTTAGCTAACCTGGTTGCTTCCTATGGGATACTAGGATTGGCAGTTTGGCAGAGCTGCCAGGAGACTCATTGGCTAAGAGTACTACCCTCTCCAAAGTGCCAAAGTCAGGACTCCATAGTATGTTGCCATTGCTATCAATGTGTACCATATATGCTGTAATGGAATAGTGTGAGACAAACTTTTTCAGGGCCTTATAAGCATAGTCCAGAGAAACACACACATGCAGGTGCATAATACACACTAACAGACATGTGCTAAGCATGTGCCACAGCAGATGGATGGCGATGGTTTTTCACAAAGCTGCTTGTCTACACTTCAGTTCAGCTCATCCATTCAAAAAGTATGAGAAGGCGCTTGCTGTTTTGTGCCCACTCCACAGGGATCCCTTGTACCAAAGGAAGCATGGAAGCATCATGGAAATAAAGGAGAGTTCTGTTTCATGCCCTTCACTCCTTGACTGTCTGGCATAAATGCTGAGCAGTAGACGGTTTTAACTAATAACTATTGACAAGGTAATCTGCAAATGTGCGCACTTCTTTCCAAAGCCAATTATGCTGTTTCCTCCATAGCTCATTCCAATAATATAATAATATTATAATTGGATATAATTTTTTTAAAAAAAAACCTTTCCATGTTTAGATGGCTGACAGAGGATGCCAGAGGGAGGACTCCTTGCTATGTATCCGCCTTCCTCCAGCCCCATTGTATTTCTGCTGAAGGTCAGGGAAGCCACACAACTTGGCATGGACATTTTTTATCTTCCAGACCAGACATTTCCCAGCAGACAGCAGATGTGACCTCTCCGATCACCTATACGTGCAAACATGAAGGTGGCAAGGCAGATTTGGGTATAGCCCATGAGACAGAAAGTAAGAGTTAGAAATTATATTCAGACCAACCAAAGACTTTACTGGCAGTGGGCTGAGGATACCATAAAATATGAACCATAAGCACATCAGTTTGGCATTGATTTCCAAAACAGTGGCTCATTTCAACATAGCAAGTGAATAATGATTTCCTCCAATAAGAAGCCGCCATAGGCACTTTTAGTGTCTCCCCACAATATTTATGAACAACTATGGAGGGCAATGGTGTTAGAGTTTTTCATTCATTATTGATAAGCAGTAAAGTACATGCTTTCAAGGCTCTTGTCAACTCATGACAACCCCATTAATTTCATAGGGGTCCCACAGGCAAGGGATATTCAGAAGAGATTTGCCATTGCCTTCCTCTGTCATATGGACACAGCACTTTGCATTCCTCGGTATTTTTCTATCCTTCACCAGGTCTGACCTAACTTAGCTTCCAAGATCAAATGGGTTCTGGTGGCTTCAAGGTATTTAACAGGGATGAAGAGCTGAAATTTATACCATTTCCTACTTCCTAGCATTTTGATATTTGATAGATACATATGATGTTGACTTGCCAGAGCCAAAGTGTGTGGTGTTTGAAAGTGGAATGGGAAAAATATATACGCCTTTTCTAAAAAATAAATAAATCAAAAATAAAAACTACCATGTGTTTTCCTTCTTTCATAAACTACTGACCAGACAGTTGATTGTGTTATGGGAAGATGATAGCACCATGTGAATATTTTTGCACAATAGTCAGCAAATGGTTATCAGATGGAGGAAACACAGAAACAAATAGAAGCCAATTCATCATTCCATCATAAAGATGAAGCATTGATTAATCAGAGTAATTCACCTGAGCTCACTGATTGCTGCCTGTTAAATTTCCAGGAAAATTGTTTGCCTTTTTAACTGTCCTTTGCCTCTTTGATAATGGAAGCATCTGTTGGAAGAAGTTATAAGATGTATAGGCACAGAAATTCTGCTGCTCTAAAGACTAGGATAGAGAGCAGTGAATTCAAATTAGAGGAAAAGAGATTCCATCTAAACATTAAGAAGAACTTCCTGACCGTAAGAGCTGTTTGACAGTGGAATATGCTGCCTGGGAGTGTAGTGGAGTCTCCTTCTCGGGAGGTTTTAAAGCAGAAACTGGGTTGCCATCTGTCAAGAATACTTTGATTATGTATTCAGGTCTGGAAGGATACTGGTTGACCCTGTGGTCTCTTCCGACTTTTTGATTCTATGCAATGGGCAGAGGAAAGGCTTGCCAAAGGATTCCCTGACTGCTTCAAGGCCACAATGTGGGGAAAATCTGCCCATTTCATTTTCTCACATATTTAAAAGTTCTGCATATTGGTCTGTTCAGATAAAAACAAAAGAAAATGAAACTACCAATATCTCCCATCAATTTCACTTCTCAAATATTAGGTTTGTGAATTTTGGTGAGTTCAGGTAGAAGACAAAAGGAAGGAAAATTCTGTACTCCTCATGTATCAGAGTTTGCCCAGGAATGTAAGATAAGAAATAAATAAACTCTTTTAGGCTTGATTGGCCAACAGCTGTCTAAATGTGAAACTGAAATCCCACAACACTGCCTGGTTTATTAGAATTTATCAGTTCAGGCAGAATCAGTTCATTGACCAATTGGTTATTATAATACTGAATGTTTTCCAAACTCAGACCTGCACTTTTGGCCAGCATTGCCTGCGTGGCATTCACGTTTCCATCGTGTGGCTCAGGAACTATCTCTAGCAGTTTGCAGAGGAGAGCATAAACATCCACACTTTCAAATGGTTCCACTTCCAGCCCTCTCTCAAAAGCTGGTCCCACAGCTCGGAAAATGGTCTTCATGTTCATATCTTCATTGTCAAAACCATGCTCCCCCTTATTGAATTGCACTTTGAGTCTCTGAAAGGGAAAGAAAGAGCATACTGTATTTTTATTTCTTTTGGCAGGCACATCTCCAGTAAACAGCAAAAAAAAACAACAAAAAAAACGTGGTATATGTTTCACCATTGTTCTGTGTTGTATGGACTGATTCAAATCCCAAAAAAGAAAGCTCAATAGGAGGACAAAAGAGCCTGCTCTTTGAAGCAAACAATTCCATTTACAATAGGCTTCTGCTTACTACATGCAGTACAGAGAGGTAAATCATGGCCATCTCTGGATGTTGCTGGATGGTGGCTCCTTGCATTCCTTACCTAGTACCAAGCTGACTAAGGCTGCTGGGAGTCACAGCCCAAGAGCATTGACATTCTGTCCACCCCGATATAAAAGCTAATGCAAAGGATTTAAGCAACATTTGAAATTTATTTTCAATATGAAAAATAGCTAAAGTGTGCTACAGCACACACCAAATTGTATGTAAAATGTATCTGTTTGTAGCTTTCTTTCACTTAACCTTGGAGTAGTGTCTGAAGCATGTAGGCACTATAAATAAGAGACAGTCTGAAAGGAGACTAAGGGATTCAAGTTATCCCTTTTCCAAGAGTGTATCTACACTGTAGAATGAATGCGATTTGACACCACTTTAACTGCCATGGCTCAATGCTATGGAATCCTGTGAGTTAAAGTCTGGTGAAGGACCAGCACTCCTTGGCAGAAAAGGTTAAACACCCCATTTACACTGCCATATAAAATCCAGATAATCTGCTTTGAACTGGATTATATGGCAGTGTAGACAAGTGACAGAGAGGCTCAGACAGGGACCCTTTGGAATGAAGAGCGAGACTTTGGACTTGGTAGATACAAAGTGTGCCTTCCCTGCTTTTGAAATGCCACATTCCAGAGCCCTGTATTTACTACCGTCTATCTATGCTGACAGCAGGAGCTTTCTATGGATATAACAACAGTGTTTGCTGTTGGTGCTCCTTGCTGGCAGAACTTTTCTCTTTCAAAAGTGATGGGTGGAATGATGCTTCCATCATATCTGAATCCCTCCCTCATTGTAAGAATGGCTGTAATCCTAAACATACATTTGAAGATTGAAGCTCCTTCTACACTGCCCTATATCCCAGGATCTGATCCCCGATTATCCGCTTAACCTGTCTCAGATTATCTGGCATTGGAGACTCATATTATCCAGTTCAAAGCAGATAATCTGGAATCAGATCCTGGGATATAGGGCAGTGTAGCAGTGGCCTAAGTCCCACTGAATACAATGGAGCTTACTTCTGGTTATAGCAAAATGGGCACTTATTTGGATGTGATATTTAATAAACAAAGCATGACTTGCTTATGAAAATACATGTATGGGATTAGGATGTAAGCACAACCTCATAGCTACTGGCCAAAATAGCATTTCTCAGAAAGTAAGCATCCACACTTCCTTAGCAGACTTCTAAATCTTCATAAGCTCAAAACTGCTGAACTTAAGAAGACATTAAAAAAAAAACAGCATTGCAAGGTCAATCATATAAATTCAGAAAGGTATTTCCTGGATTCTCACTCCTACAATGGCTTGCTAGTCTCTGGGTCCAGTAGGAAATCCACAGTGACATACATATCGACCAACAGGGGAATCCTACCTATTTTTTTTCTCAGAAGTAAGCCCCACGTTGTTCAGTGCCTTTACTCCCTAGCTAATGAGTTTTTTGAGTTCATTGCACAATCTCACAAACTTTTTTCCTAATTTAAAAAAAGGAAAAGGAAAAAATCTGATTTAAAACAAAACTTCCAGGTTAAATCTAATCCCACTCCTCATCTGGAGGACATAAGTGCCCACCCAGCTGTAGGGGGACATCTTTTTTTATGAGTAGTGTTGTCCTTGTCTTGCAGTGGGAAGAAAGAAGTGTTTCAAGTAGCAACAGCAATGAGCAGAGAAATGAAGGAAAGTCGTATGTAAGTGGTGCAAGAAGAAGGAATGAGTGGGAAATGCCATTTTGGGCTCTGCTTCTGGCAGCAAAATTTCTTGACCTGGCACTCCATATGATATCTCTCCCATCCCCTACTTTTAAGAACCTTCCTAGAGAAAGACTCTTGTCTTTCCCATAAAGAACTACAACAACAACAACAACAACAACAAAACAACAGCTGTTCTAGGGGCAGAGAGAAGAAACACAGTAAGAGGTTTCCATTTAGGCAACAGAGCTCAACATACCCCATTGATCACGTATCCAGGGTCTCCATACAATACCAGTGGGGTGACGCGAGTGTGGTTGGCATAGTGGAATCTCTTTGGGAATTCCTCCTTCTTATAGACATGGAGTTTGCTGTGAGCTGTTTTCAGGACTTCATAAACTTGTTCCAGTTTCCCTGGTTTTGGCACCAGTAGCCCTTGTGGCCCGTAATCTAGCATCTCAAACTGAATGTCTGAAAAGGAAAAGTTTGCTACATTGCGGAGGACAATTTCATTTTCTTTGATTACTGTTTCCATGCCATGGTCAGAGGTGATGATCAGGTTGAGTGTCGATGTCATGCCATAGTCCAATATACGCTGTCTCAAATAACCCACTGCCCGATCCACCTGACTGACCATGTCCTTCCTTTGCTGGGATTCTGGGCCATATTTGTGACCTGTGGAGTCAGGCTCTCCAAAGTAAAGGGCAACAAAGTCAAGATCATCCTCAGAGAACCACTTCATGACCATGTCAATGTTCCCCTTCCATTCAGTCTCATTGCCATAATTGTGAAGGAGCTTCTCCACCTTCTTAACATTGACCTGTTCACCTTGGTAGGTTGCATTCCCTCCAGGGAAGAAGAGGGACCCTGTCTTCAAGCCCTAGAATGAGAAATCATATGCCTAAAAACTGAAAAAGTAATATACAGCAGTGCATATTGATGATGAGGTACAGTATTCTTGAGAGCAGAACTGGACATCCTTTCTTTCTAGTCCTCACAGGGGGTGGGAATAATGTGATCCAAGGGCTATATGAGGTGCTAAATGACTGGAAAAAATACTCTGATTTTCTGCTTGAAAAATCATGGGAAACATTCTTCAAACAAAAAGAGCCCCACTCCTAAAAATATACTACTTCTGATCACTCAAAAGAATGTTGCAACCCTCTGGATCTCTGTTATTGTCTCTATCCCTTTTGTAGAAAAAAATAATGTATGGGCAAAGATTCAAAATCAACTGCAGCGAAGGTCATGCCGGACAGTGTCATGACATTTGGTGATGAAAGTGGACAGAACAACAGTGCCTTCTGCAATTTTCTCTCTCATTCTTAGGGCCACACAATATTACTCTCTGTGTAAAAAAAATACACATCATTCTAAAAATATATATAAATTGTGCTTCTTTTTTCTTTCTCAAAAGTGAGATCTGAGTTCCAGAATGTTGAATAATATTTGCTACAATGCCCCGTTTTATATCTAGCTATAGAACCTCTTTCTATCTTAAATCAGAGGTGCTAACCTATAGTCTAGATGTGGATTATGTTAACTCTTTCTACTTTCACTCACATCTCAGTAGTGATTCCAGATAGCAAAAGCTAAAGAAAATAATCAAGGAGACAGCCCCCTTTCCAGTTGGAGACAATCTAACCCCTTCTACATGCTCACCTATCTACTATTTCTTGACATTTTACCTATTCCTCACCTTGTTCTACTCACAAACTCTAGCTTGTATTGCCAGGTCAGGGCTATCCTGTTCTATTTTAAAGCATACAGGTAGTCCCGAGTTACAAACATCCGACTTACAAATCACTCATAGAAATTTACCCCTAGGAAGGGAAATTCAGTCCTGGAAGAGTTATCATGGGGAAAAGGTGTCTCCACTGAAGTTTTCTCACCAATCCTCATTTCCACAATTTTTTCCAAAATCCAATTATCACAGAGACAGAAAGTGAGGTGAAATTTTCTGAACAGGGGCACAGACAGCAAAACAAACACCACAGGAGTGTTAACACTTCCCTGTGCTTACAAAACTACACACATACACACATGTATGGCTGGAGTTACACTTAAAATGTACCTGTTTAGACTTTCATATAAATTAAACTTAAGAACAAACCTACAGAAACTATCTAGCTCGTAACTTGGGGACTGCCTGTATTTCCTTTTTCAATGGTTATCCCATATGCATGCATTGACAGAGTTGGATGAGCCATATTTAAAAATTGTGTACAAAACAGAATTTTAGCCCCAAAAACTTGTCTCAAAAGCGTAACCTTTTAATGTCCCAGCCGCACTCCTAAAAGTCCTGTGGGTTTGTTCACAGCTTACCTGCCTTTGCGCTGTGATCCAGATTGGGAGGCTCCCGTTGTCCCACCAGTCAGACCTCCCCTGGGTGGTATAATAAGCAAGCTTCTGCCCGGTGGTGGTGTTGAACCACATATTGTGAATCACCCCATGATTCTCAATGTATCGTCCTGTAAAGAGAGAGTAAAACTTGAAGTGAATGACCAGCTGCTTCCCAAGGTGATTCTTTTCTTTCTACTTAACTATTGGATCCTGGAGGATATTCCCACTATTGCCAGTTCTCTTCTCTCTCATGAAGACTGCAGCATGCCTACAACCAGATATCACTGGGTGAAATTGTTAGGATTTTTATGATCAGCAGGGATTATAATGTCATCTATTATGCCCCTTAAACTTCTCTGTCCCACTTGGATGATCCTGTAATCATCACAGTAGCTGTGTGACTAGTGTGTGTGTGTGTAGGTGGGGGGGGGGGGCATTCTCAACAACAGCACTGCAAACAGATTTTTTTTTGCAATGCAAAGGACCGTGAAGTGTCTCAAGAGCATAGTTAAACTCATTAACTTTACAAAAGATCTTCCTCTTTGGAAATGAAAACTGCTAGAAGTAATCCCCTCCCCCCCACATGGATCAATGCTCCTATATTAATTTTGGGACTCTCTTTAGAGCTTTGTCTATGGGGTTGTAATGGACTCTGACCCTTCCAAACACTACCACCAAACAAATCCAATATTCCTGGATTGCAGACACCAAACATACAAACTCTGAGAAACAATAATATCCTATCTGTTTGTCATCCCATCCTCCAGGAACTGATTGACTTCTGATTCCAGCTTTCTGATTGATCAGAAGACCCATCTAGAGTCTTCATGTATTAGGTGAGCCTCAGTTCTGTGCTCTTCTTCTACATTCTTCTGACTTTCATGACATTGCTACCTTCCCCCCACTTTACTTCTTTATCATCCTGACATCTGGTCTTGTGTCATTTTTGACTTTTTGACCTGTGGTGTGGAGTGGCTGCTAAGCATGCATTGACATCTAGGCAGGTATTGACATTGCTCAGTGCAATGGAATCCTGGGAGTTGTAGTTTGGTGAGCCACCAGCCAACTTTGGCAGAGATCTTATAAAATTGCAACTCCCATTACATTGAGCCATGGTAGTTAAACTAGTGTCAAATTGCTTTCACTCTTCAGTGTAGATTCACCTTCAGTCTGCTCAGTCAGAATGCTCCTCTGCCAATGAAGTATTACCAAGTCATCCCTAGAAATGTGGCTCAGTTGCCACTCTGGATTCGCGCTTAGATCTGTCACTAGTGGTCTGCCCTGCTTTTAATAGCACAGGACAGCGCCAGGCCTAGGCTAAGGAGATTTCAAGTTTCTGTTGCCCATTTCAGTTTCTAGAATCACACAGCCATTTATTTCCATTTGGTCCCCCTATTTCCTATTCCAGCTGTCTCCACCTTCCCCAGATATGGCTACCTTTGCATTTATCTAATCAATGCAAAGGAGAGGATGCTATGGATTCAGATAATGGAGCATGAAGTGATATCTTTAGATAATGGGCCATGAACAAGGTGAGCTAGGCCTTGATTACGATATTATTGCTACTAGCAATATCATTTACCACTACCCAAGTGACTATGTACACACCAAAGATGGGCACTGGTCTCACTCTATGTTCTGAAATAACCCTATTCCTTTAATGCAGGGCTGGAGAATCTTTGCCTTTCCAGATGTTTTGGACCTCAGCTCCCAGTAACCCCAGCCATAATCTGTAATAGCAAGGGACTGCAATATGTGGAGTCCAAAACATCTGCAGCCAAACATTCTTCAATTCTACATTGATAGTTTTCATTATCCACTCTTCCAGAACCACTAATTGTTGTGTGAGTATTCAGAGGGAAAGATCAGTTGAATCAAGTGACTGCAATTGTCTTTGCATATTTAAGAACAGCTCTGGAGATTTCAGAAACATTTTTGGGTTCCAATCAGCCCCAGGAAACTCAGATGGCTGTAGGAAGGTCTGGGATTTAGCAGTTAATCAGAAATCAATATTATTGGTACCAGAACCCCCACCCTATTGAGAAGGCCTTTTCCAACTCAGTGACATGCCCCACTCCAAATATGTTGGACTACAACATTAATCACTCACAACTAAGCATGGTTCATGATAAATTACACAGTACACTTAAGATGGAAAGCCCATAGAGTCTCATCTAGTTGTCTCCATATACAACTACAACATCTCCTTCTTTATGCAAAGGTATGTTATATAAGAACAGTGTGGTAGACATTTTGCAAAGCAAGCACTGAGAAAATCCCTCTCTGGAGCTTCTTTGTTTCTTGTCTATGAAGGGGGCCCAAAACAAGTAAGAGAATATGAGTCAGAGAGATCAGATTTGTTCCTTTCACCGTGAGCCTACTAGGCATCACATGATGGGCGGTTATAGTTTTAAAGTGAGATACTAAGTGATTAAGTTGTTTCTGAAAACTTCCCTTGGCTTTTCCCAAACAAATACAGTGTGGCAATATAATAAAATCTATACATGGAAATTCTTAACCCTTTTACTTTGCAGATTTCAGCACAGGCAAAATCCCTACCTCATCTTGATTTTTACAAATTATTTTCTCCAAACATACAAGAACAACAAAATACAACTTACAAAATAAGAAAAGATTCCCCCCCCCCCCCAAAAAAAAAAACCCAATCCACCCTCCTCTTGTTAGAGACACTGCAGGTCAGATAAAGTTGCTGTAAATGAATCCGCAGAAAACTGACTGTGCTGATGGGGGGATTGTAGTCCAAGCTCTGCAAATCAGATCCAGTTTTGGACTTCAGTTCCAGATCATTTTTCAGTTTGGCATACACATTCTAGATTAGGCATGTGCAAACTTCGGCCCTCCAGGTGTTTTGGACTTCAACGCTCACAATTCCTAACAGCCTACTGTTAGGAATTGGAGGGCTGAAGTTTGCCCATGCCTGATCTAGATCAAGGTGGGCAAATGTGGTCCTGCTGAAGAATCGGATTGCCCATAATCCCCTTACTGGTCCTGGCCAGGGCTACCTGAAATGCCATATTTGTCTATTTCATTCTAGGTAAATATGTGTGTGCCTGACAAATTCCTGACTGAAATAGGCCTATTCCAGTAGGAGGGCTCTCTCAGATACAGAATTATTCACTGCCAGTAAAAATATTGACAGCTCAATTGACTTACTAGACACTTCTAGAAAAGCTGGAGTACGTGAAGGGATCGGTCTTTGCTATATATCTTGCCACCTTTTAAAAGTGCATAAAGTCTAAAAAAGGAAATTTTATTCCTCTGAAAAAGAGAAGATTGCTGTTTCTATCCTAAGTCCAATTGTGAGTTCCCGCTAGAAGAGATCCCTGAATCATGAAACTTACTTAAGTGTTGACTTACCAAATTCACATTGTTTCAAGATCTATTGTAATTGAGGTCAGTTGTCTTTAAGCCCCTGATTCTCAGCTCTCCACTTCCCCTGCTCCATCCCACGCCATCTCTTCCAGGTGACCAAGTCCTTACCTGTAACCAGAGTGAAATGGATCGGGCTTGTCTGGGTGACAAAGGGAGGTGTAATATACTTTGCCTTCACCCCATCTCTGGCCATGGTATCTAGATTGGGAGTATCTACATCCTGGTCATAATTCCACCGAAAACCATCAAAAGAGACCAGGAGAAGTTTGTTGCGGCTCTTTGCTTCCTGTAGTGGAGCTGCAGCTCCAAGGGTCAGCAAGGTAGCCACTAAGCCCAGGAGAGCAAACATCTTTCCGAGAAAGCACAAGAGAGAAAAAGACAAATATCCCAGTGGCTGAGATAATATGTACATAGCAGGGTCCCAAGTTCACAGCTCTATCTTATCCACAACCTTTTGCACTTGGCTTTGGAACAAGTTTCTTCTGGTATTCAAATCACTTTCCACCATCACCATCTCCCTCCTTCTCTCTCTCTCTCATGTACAAACACATGCATAAATAGGCAGTATGTAATGACATACGTACACATGTACACATACTGGGGTTATGAGACTGGAAGGCAGACCAAGCCTTTCGTGCTTCTTTCCTTTTTGCTAAAGTCTTACAGCTGGTAGATCTTTGGGACCTTTTCATTGGCAGCCAGCTTGATGACTGGGATTTAGTCCCAATTTGATCTCATACTATTTGGATTTGAATCTAAATCAAAATGTCAAAATAGAATCTTAATCTTTTCTGTGGAACTGTGGTCACAAACAAAAATGGCCAAACCATTTCCCCCTTTTGGTCACTTCACATATTTATATGGAATCTGGCCACATTGTATTTATTTATTTATTTTATTCTGCCTTTCATTTGCTACAAGGGCCCAAGGTGGTAACAATAAATAAAAAACAGTGCTAATTAACAACAATGTAAGGACATTGAAATATAAATATAAAATGTAAAAAGCCAAATTAATAAATTTATGCTATTAAAATAACTAAATATTTAACATTGTCTCTACAGAGTAGCCCAACTCTCTAAAATGCCACATAGATCAGTCCAGGGTCATTTTTGCTAGCCTCCTTAATTTTCCCCCCTGAGAATGATTGTACTTTGGGGATGGGCTGATTGGTTTTGGTCATACTTGGATGCCATTTGAAGACACGGCAGACTTTTCAGGAAAATAACCCTACCAAATTTAGGCCCAATAGTTTTTGTGATACTTAGCTTTATAATTTGCCACATACCTAATGTTTTGAACAGATAATCACATGTTTTTTAAAAGCTCAAAAGTAGGATGAGGGTACAATGGGTGTGGGGGGAGGAAAAAAAGAGTTATCTCTGTTTAATAAAATTGCTACGGTGATAACTTCTCTCTCTCTCTCTCTCTCACACACACACACACACATACACACACTCTCTCACACATACAATTAAACCACAAATACAAAGTGTAAAGAGAGATGATAATGTTTTGGAAAAAAGGAATGAATTTTAGACAATAGAGGAATGAAGGAGAAACACAAGCCACTGTAAAGACACAAAGAGCCACCAGACCTCAACATAATTTGCTAAAACTGTTCCGATCATGAAAAGAGTAATGGAAAAAGAACAAAAGTATGCACACATGGACACACACCACAAGCATCGTGATATCAGAGTGTTGCTATCATTTTTGCCACACATTTCAGTGGTTCTCAACCTGGGGTCTCCAGATGTTTTTGGCCTTCAACTCCCAAAAATCCTAATAGCTGGTAAACTGGCTGGGATTTCTGGGAGTTGTAGGCCATAAACATCTGGGGACCCCAGGTTGAGAACCACTGAATTAGATGGACAGCAGCAGCATATTTTCTGTAACTGATCAAAAATTGGTCTGTTGCCTGGGTTGGATTAAAACAAGTGTAATGTAACACTTTTGAGCATTGGATTAGGACTTCAAGGGACCTAGAATGAAATCTGTATTTGCCCATAGAAACCCACTGGGTGATCTTGAGCAAGTCTTACAGGCAGGCAAAGCCAAACTCTGTCTGAACAAATCTTGCTCATGAAAGTCCTAGAATAGAGCCAGGGTCAAATTTAAGACACATAATTACAATTCCAGTGAGTTATATGCTAGTATGGCATGAGAAGAAATGGAAAGTGAACTAGAGTCAGCTTTAGAAGAAAGTAATCAGTGTAACATCCCAAAGAGAGGTAAAATGTTGTGACATAGTTGTAAGTTTTTCCCTGTGTCATCAAAATGGCCAGAGGCAGGTATGCCAAGTGGCCATGCAGAGAGAGGACTCCTACAACTGTTTTATTGACAGTTGACTTCAGGAACCATAAGGCAAAGACAGAAAATGACCAGTCTGGACATTAGGTATTAGTCACCAAGGAGTAGGAGCAAGAAGGTGCTGTTATACTGATGCCTTGCTGTGAGGCTTTGCTGAGGCAACAGGAGATAAGGCTTTGGTTTGATCCAACATGGCAGCTCTTTCTATTTATAGAGAATTTTGGGCTGTACCAACCAAGGCAGTAGGCTTCAGTAGGCAGTGGCATGAATCATAAGGGCTGCCTTGGGTTGACGATAGCAGACTCCACAACATAATGTGGTTGGGGGAAAGCACTAAGATCTAATCACTCCTTTCCTGACACCATCTAGCCACACTTTCTCCCCAATACCATTTCCTCTTTTTCCATTCAGAGGAAGCAGCACATTAGAAAGGGGAATGTTACAATATTTTAAAACAGGACTATCTAAAAAGCCAGGTGGCATATCGAAATGTATCAATCATATGCAAGCATTAACAAACTGATAGTGATAAAAAAAACAGCCACTCATCATATTCCTGCTCTTGTCCTCCAGTTTAGCAACCTGAAGTCCCACCCCCCATTCCCTCCCCCTCTTCCTCCCTCCCTCCCTTGGATTTTGCCTCTGCTTTCCTGCTTTCCTTTTGGTATGGAGTTCCTTGCTGAATATGTATACAGACTGAGACCAGCTTTCAAACTTGTTTTCCTTTCTCATTTTCCTCCAATGTGACTCATCTGCATGGCCTTTGATTTATTTCTGTAATCAAAAGAAGAAACCACGGGATAGTCATGTGCCTCTTTCTTAATCCATCACCCCTGGCCATTGCCCATCCCAGACATTGTTTGGAAATCCAACAATACTTGAATGGACATATTCTGGGACTAAACTCCAGCAAGCCACACCAATGTTTCCAGATAGCTTTGTCCTCCCAGGCAACAGTAATGAATCTACAGAGATCCCCCTTTCCCGGTACACACAATCTTTAGGTTTGATGGAAGACTAGTGCACACAGCAGAGAACTTGAGCTATTGGCAAATATGCAACCCCTTTTTCCTAAAGAAAAAAATGTACTGTATTACGGACTACGAGAAAACATTACATTTTAGTTATCTTCATGAATGTATGAACTAAAAAAACCCAATAATATCTGACAAAGGCTTGTGGAAATCCTATGCTTAATTTATATTACACTATGTAACACAATTTTTGTTCCTGGGTTATAAATGTCATTTCCTAATTGGTTCTATCATAAAAACATGGAAAAAGTTCATTCCATCCTGCAGCACATTTTGCTATAGTTTTTAAATGAATATCTCACAGATTCTCAACCAATTCTGCATAGTTTGTGGCAGCCATAAAAAAAGAAGTTTTTGAAATATAACAACCCCTTTCAAAGTAATTATCACACAATTAAACAGGAAATAACACTTTTTAAACCAGGAACAGAAAATTTTCAAATTTCGTAACTAGTGCTATTTAAAAAGGAATAGGTGTTCTGGTAGCCTGCTTTAATTTGCAAAAAACCACCACCACCACCACAACAAAAACAAAAAACAAAACTAAAAACTTGGACTCAACCTGTTCCATGATTCAGCACAGCTTCTGGTGAGTATCATGGAGTTTTGTTGCTGTTGTGGATGTTTTGCTTTGCTTTAAACTGACTTTGCCCTGCTTTGGGAATACTCTGGAGTTTGCTGGAAACTCTGGAGTATGCCACAGCTTCAAAGCTATTTGGATAGTGGGACTCCCTGCTTCAGACTGATCTGCTGCCCAGTCTGAACACAATGACATCACCCTTTTCCTGAGCTCATCAGCACAGAGAAAGTGGATGGATTGTGCCCATGTTTCACTGCCCCATGCCAGCCATGGAGCTTTGTCTGTACAATCAGCAAGAAGGAGGGGAACGATTTCCCTTCCTTCCTTCTGGTTATGTAGGTGGCCTGTTTCGATTTTGGCAGAAGTGCCCGTATGACCAGGAGCTCAGGTGCAACTCCACTCAGGAGTGGCTCCAGCAGCAACACAGAGGTGAGATGTGTGCCACCCCGATGGAGTGAGTGTGCCCCAGGCCTTCTGAATAATGACCCCAGATTTGACTCCAGAGCATTTTGCACAAGGCTAAACTGCCCAGTGTAGATGAGTTTCTGGTGTTAAGAACCTTTTTAAAACTAATGTCTAAAACGGTACCACATTCAATTTGTGTTTAAATACAACCCTACAGCTTCTCCCATGAGTGTTGTAGATGAGATGCCCCGCTCCCTTTGAACACTAACTTCCAAACTCCCTCTGAGACCCTATCTTTTACGATGGGTCAATACATCAGATTGTTTGTGAAACTCTTAGGAAAAAAGCTTGCTGGCATAATCCTTTCTAAACCACCTTTCTTGCTGCAGGGATATCCACCCGTACTGCTTGACCAGAGTCCCTGGGAGCGCCTGAGCCAGAGAAGGGTTAAGGAGGGTGTCCTGCCAGGCCAACCCTACCATTAAAGTGAGGTGTCTAGCTTAGACAGCTTATTTGAGGTCATGGAAGAGCAGGAAATTGCTAGTTGTTCAGTTTGTTATTGTTTCTTTCCTCTCAGGGAGAGGGAGAAGCACTTTAGGGTTTTTAAATTTAATGTTGAAAATATACAATAATATACAACTTGACTTGGGTAGATATAGGCATCATTTGCGTCTCCATTCTTTTAAATTCTTTAAAAAAAAGTAATGATCATGGTTTCAAAGTATAAAAAAGTCAAGTTGTTCATAATATTTAATATTAAAGGACTGCCATGCCAGCTATGCCGACCTCTCCTGCACTCTCCATAGAGATAGCTATTAGCTATCTTTTAGTCCATGTAAATACACTTTATTGTTATTTTCTATTTACAAAATCCAATGCAATGCATCACTGTATGAGTGTTTCTGGCAGCCTACTGAACTGTATTTCCAGGATCTTTTAAGACAAGTCTCCTTCAGCTGCCACCAATGCATTTGCTGGTATGAGCATACCCATTCACCTGCCACTGAAAACCTTTACGGAACAGTAACGCTGTTGCACTTAC